GTCCTGTACCATACCTTCAATATAGTTACTGAAATTAGAATGAAAATTTACACACTCTCATTAAGAGGATAGAAAACACATTATATCGTCCTGTACCATACCTTCAACATAGTTACTGAAATTAGAATGAAAAGAAACTGTACAGGCAAATCAAAATTAAGAGAACCTATCAAAGTATGTTTAGTAAATTCAGAATTAAAAGAAACTATCTAAAAGTAATTAATTAATTCAGTATTAAAAACTATATACATTTATTTAGTCCATTCGTTTGTTGAATTACGTGCAAAGCTACTCGAAGGTTATCTCCGCTAGCCACCTGTAATTGTGAAATGAAAGATTAGAAGCCAGTCAACATTACCCACCGTTATCTCATAGTTTTCTGCAATCGAATAATGGGTTTGATCATTAATGTACATTTGGCTCGAAAGTGTGCAGTGTGATTTTTCTTTCTTTCTTGGCGATAACGGGACGCAAACCACGTATCTACAGTCGGGCATGCTAACAATTGAACTATGCTCGGCCTTGTCGACATAGTAGAAACGGAACTATTTAAAGTGATTAATAAATTCAGTATTTGGAAAAGGCTACATAATAATGTTTAGTACATTGAGTATTGAAAGTAACTATTTAAAAGTGATTGGACTGAATGTATCCTAGTGGTTAACATGCTCGGACTGTGAATTTGAGAACTCGTGGTTCAGTCCTGTTGCCACAAAGACTCATTCCGCTATTTGGATCCGTGGGTGCGATATATCACCATCCGGGCAGGCAAGAGTATCCCAAGACTTGGCGGTGTTAACCAGTAGTTAGCAATACCATCCCAATATTCCATCAGTTCTAAATTAGAATGGGCTTTGTATAAATTTGCCTGAAATTTTTAAAACAAACTAAAGCTAATTAGTCACTTAAGAATTAAATTATTAATTATTAATGAGGCATTATTGATGAATAAATGTCAGAGGTCAAGATCATAAATAAGGGTTAAAGTAAAACCCATGGTTAAAATTTGTTTCTGAGAGCGATACATAAAATGGCATTAATTTTAATAACCGTATAATAAAAAATACAAACACCTTCTAGAAATAAATCTTACCACAGTGAAATAAAAAACTCAGCCACCATTACAGAGACAGCATTTTTCCTCTGGATTTTCTTATGTGTATGCTTAGAATATAAATAAATCAAATTAGAGGCGCGTCAAAAAAGGCACTTCAATGGTGAATGTCGACTATAATATTTTACCTCATTCATTAAACTCTGGAATTATAAAATGAACTAAAATTATAGGAATTTGGGCGAGGGGTGGGTGGATGGTGAGCCAACCGATCAGGTCAGAGACCTCAAGGTCCAGGCAAAGCCATCCTTAATTTAGAACCGAATAGTGACAGTGACTATTACAGTTATTACACCCCCACAAATGAAAGTGCGGATCTTGTTCGCTGGCATAAAACGGCTCGGACCTTGGATTCTCTGGTCTACAATCTGGTAGCTAACCATTAGGCCCGTCTGCCCAAAAAACGTTAATAGGTATTACTTACCGGCAGATAGCGAACTTTGATGTGCTGAATGAGTACAGCACCTTTTACCCGGATTCCTTTTCCAAAATGAGGTGGATGAACACTTTCATAATAGACCACAACAGTGTCGTTGCACAAGACAGTTATACCATTAGATGTTGGACCCATGTAAAGAACAATAGTAAACTTGTCTCCTGGGTGAAGTGGTAGTCCTGTTTTAACCAGCGTTGGACTCCAACCAGGTAGTTCAGCTTTATATACATGTATACTGTGTTGGTTCTGTTCAAAGTTCATGGCAAAATTGAGAGCGTAATTTGCCTCGTCGGGATCCGAACTTTCAGGTAAGACAATGGAAAGCCTATAATTTACAAATATATATATATATATATATATACAAGAACTAATAATTAATACTATAGAACTATTAGAAAAATTGAGTAAATCTGAGTTTATATTTAGATAAACTTTATTTTGTTTCAACATTTCTTTGTAAAATAAAATGTTGATAACAAACAATATATTCATTTTCTCAATATATTCTTTGCTTCCGAAGACTGTTCACAATGATTTCGCCATCTAATGAGAAATGAATAATTGAAAATAAATTTTGAATAAGTGGCGTTTAACAACGTAGTTTACAAACATTAGAAGATACGCATGATTCCTGCTAAAGAAACAATTTAATTAAACAGTTAACAGAACCAAAATATTCAAACAACTTTACAAAATGACGAACAAAGGGCCTCTGTATACACTAGCTCACCTCGGAAAACCTGGGAAAGTTGCTTTTAAGACATTTTGTTTAATAATTTATCACATACACGCTTTATGTGTTTTTAGCAAAAGAAAAGGAGTGAAAAGTGATTATTGTTTTATTTTATGTGTTTGATTAGACAACATTAAATACCTTACCCTTTGGAGTAGACAGGCACTTGTCCCGTTATGGTGACGGAAGACCCTATTCCTAGAGGCACATCCAACGGTTGGTACATTCTTTCATCAAAATTAAGCTACAAAGATAAAATTGTAATGTTAATAAAGAATTTCAAATATATTTGGCGAATCAGGGGAAAGTGTGAGTGTTAGAATAATAATAGTTACATATTAAAAACTACGGCAGAAAACATTAGCGTAGTTGATATAATATATTTCGCTAAGAAAATTTAGTATGAATAATCTCTACTAATACGTCAAGTAAAATCCTACAAAAAAACTTAATTGTAGGTTTGGCTTTAAAACTGGCTATCTATGAAATTACTATCCTACTTTTGGTATGGAAGATTCGCTAATTGTTGCATGCACAAAAATATTATTTTCTTTCTTTCTTTTTGTTTTTTCAAATCTTAGGGTACTTATATAAACCAAAAAGCATATGCTAACGAAATTAACATATATGACCGATCGAAATTGAAAACTAAATTCGAATAATTCGTTGTTTGAGCTCAAGAATTAAAGAGCATGAGCAAAATACACTATATAATCAGTCGGCCATTCTTCGTCACTGTTGGCAAGACTGTGAGATTAGAATTATTGCCAACGGTTTCAACATTTTGGAAAGTGTGGCCAACGAAAAGATGCTCCACATTAAAGAAAGCTTATAGGTGCCTCCTGAATTAAACGTAAACTAAACCGTGTCATCCATGCGAAATAGCTGTTCACAATTAAAGGTAGCTCAAGCATTGTATACAAAAACAAGAGAAATGCATAGAGAATCCACTACAATATTAACTTGCAAACATTCAAGGACAGAAATTTTAGAAGTTCTAACTGGGTTGTAGCTTGTATTTTGCAGAAAAAAATACAATCTATAGTAATCACAGTGGGAATGATAAAAATGAAGCCTGGAAAAGTATAACAAATATTTGATATTAATTTCACAAGCTCCAAAAACGTGAGGATCGCGTGTATCATGAATCCTCAAGGTCTAAGCATTCCGTTGTATTATCTTAAGGTGGGAGAATACAAAATATCATGAACAACATATGGTTCGAGGGGTTCATAATCAAGTGTTTTTGAAACTACCTTTGAATGATTTTAATTATTGCCTAGTTAGTATTGACCTGATAATAGCCGTTTAGAACTTCCATTACAAAAGATCAAATCTAGTTGAAGAAAAGAAACAACAACTTTTATATTATAAGTAGCTTCTGAACCACAAGGGTATTGATTGGATTGCATCTGTATCAAAGGAGCCACATCAGAAGCATTTAAACAAGAATGTATCATGACCTCACATAGAATGTCGTACTGGTTAAAGATTTGTTCAAAAGAGCTTCTCTAGAATATAAATTTTGTTATGAACTTAATCATCGACCTCCCTAGCTTGTAAACGAATGGAGCACTGTGAAAACTGTGTGCAGAATGTGTCCCTCCAGAAATTATAAAGGACTCCTTATCATCATCTGATCACTAGTGTGAATTATCATATCTAGAACACCAAATTCGACCACCACAGTGAGCAGTAGTGTGTCCAAAGCGATAACAGTTAAAACACAGTACTACGTTATTAATGAAAGGTCTTACGGACAGCAGTTCAAATCCAATGTTAACGTGATTGGGTGAAACTGTTCCTTCGAATGGTGCTCTAACACCCCAAATGTATAGTGGGTCTTCTTTTCCCCTTCTAGTAAGTCGTCGCACAGCTAAGACTTTGTAACCAAAATAACAAAGCTTCTCTTCTATGACTGATGTTGTTATTTATCTCTGGATATATCCAGAAACAACTCACAGACCATTCGCGGCCCGTCATGGCCAGGTGTTTAGGGCGCTCGACTCGTAATCTTCGAATCCCCGTCACACCAAACATGTTCGCCCTTTCAGCTGTGACGGTCAATTGCACTATTCGTTGGTAAAAGAGTAGCCCAAGAGTAGGCGGTAGGTAGTGATGACTAGCTGCCTTCCCTCTAGTCTTACACTGCTAAATTAGGGATGGCTAGCGCAGCTAGCCCTCGTGTAGCTTTGCGCGAAATTCATAAGAAACCAAACCAGACCATTCGCTTAGTTGAGTCGTTCAAGCAAAGTCTGGGCAGAAGAAAACTTGATTTCCGAAATTATCCCCGTTAGCAAGATTGCGTATTTCATTAATTTTATACAAAGAAATCACTTGCTTTAAACCATTAGCCAAGATCATTTGATCGCGTTTATTAAAGTTAACTTGAGTAAAGCGAAGAAGTAAAACTGAGTTATTTGTCGTGGACATTTCTATCATGAAGAAAAAGAGAATCTTGAAATTTCCCTGGGATTATAACTCTTTCGTTAAGTGTGGAGCCTTGAATTATTACTGTTTCAGGAATAGTAATATAAGCTGAAGAATTCTAATGATGATTAATACCATCAATTACACAGACCCGCGATGGTTTTATTGTCTTGAAATGTTTACATGTTTTACAGTAATTCTTGTACGCTGAATCCGAAAATATCCATTTTTCTCCATCACGTACAGATTTTTCACAAAACGTCGTAAGTACTTTTACATAAGTGAATCATTTTCATTGAAATCGAGTCACATTTTACGCTTAAAAATTTTGACAACCACTGGTTGTCTAGATTGCTCTAGACCAATCGCAACGTGAGTCTTATCGATCGTTTTAGAACCCAAACATAATAATAGAAAATGGCCATAGTGGTAAACAATAATCTGATCTAAGCGAGAGTTTTTCTTCCCGATTCGTAAAAATATCCTTACGTGATAAAAAATAATATTATTATTTTCGAAATCTACGTAGCTGAATTATAAAAACTCCTTGTTAAAACCAAAACAACTTTTATGAAGTTTAAATTCACAGGCCTGTGTTATCACAGTTTCAAATCAAGCCGGCCAAAGGACAACACCATCCAACTTTAAGCCTAACTCGATCGACCACAGAAAGACTCAAGAAAGATTTAGACAACAACGCACAAGTTATCTTCCGGCTCTGAGGTTATTCATAGTTGGGATAGAATATCTGAAAAATCCAGGAGTCCAGTAAATGGCAGAAGCTACGAAGGCGGGGTTAGCTTATTAGGTTAAAACTATAAGCAACTAAGGTAGTAAAGAATGGAGAATGATTAAAAGAACAATAATTAAACAATTTTTACTAAGGAAACGATATGTTTTTGTTTGTTTCAGAGAAAAGTCATGTTGGGCTATCTACTGTGTCCAACTCCAAAACTGAACCCCAACTTTTGGCGTTGTAAGTCAGTAAGCTTACTGCTTACCCACCGGAGGCCATAAACTATACCAATAAAAGACAACGAAAAAAATATATACAACTTTTTTACATCAAACTTAATCTCATTTGTTTGTCGATGATCTCAGAAATCGTCTGAAACTAAACAAGAAACTATCATATATATATATTTATATGCGTGTGTATGTGTCAACGTAAGAAGGATAACTTGTTAATAACAAGAGAATTTAAAGTTAATCTGCTATTCTATTTTGAACTTAAAATACTTTAATTGCTTACTAAACAAATCAAGGTATTATCGTTCATAATCACTTAAATTTAATATAAGTACAAATTTATGCTATCGGAGAAAATAAAAGCAACAAATACTTGTCATCTTCTCAGTACAAGGTCTTGATTGAAATAGTAAGTTATTTAACTTTTAACGTCAGAGAATTTATTAAATGCTGTACCATATGAGGAAATGGGATTAGTATTCTGAACGCTATTAGGCCTTTCAAGTAGATACCTCTCATGTTGCAAGGAGAGAAGCCGTTTGGGAATGGTAGCTGAAATTCCACGTCATCAACATAAAGCTAAAGTGAAAATACATGTACATGATTACCTATAGCAGTGTTAAGTTTTTCTGAAAAATGAAATTATTCTATATTGATAATCGCTCCAATACGATTCAGATTTCAAATAACACAACAGTGTTTATAGAGTATGTACATTTTTCTTATAGCAAATTTTATAGCTAATTTTAGCGTTGTAAATCCGAAGACTTACTGCTGTCCCACAGGGGAACAACAATATAGAGACATATAAATCTTATCGGTAGATTGGGTGATTTATGCTTTTCTTTAGTTGATGTTGCTTGTTATTAAGCACAAAGCTACACAAAGGGCTATCTGTGCTCTGCCCACCACGGGTATAAGTCCGCAGACATACCGCTGTCCCACGTGGGGGGGGGGGGGGCTTTTCGTTTAGTAATATGTAACACAGTAAG